AAAAAAAAAACTCACCCTGAAATAATGTAAATTAGAATTTCTTCACTTAAATCCATGAAGACCTTCCAGGTGATGAAGGCCTGATCCCTTGACATGCCACTGTCACCAGCTGGCTATTTTCCAAGTAGCTGCATGCCAGCATTTATGCCATGTAAGACCCAGCACTGTGCTTGTGGGAGCCGTGGAGGTCACCTTACAACTGCCTCTTGTAGTGGCCCCCTCTTCCGGTGCAGCCCCTCAAAACAGAGACTTGAAATACTATGACAAATTCCACAGCCACCTAACAGCTATTGCTGAGCTGTAAAACCGCCCTCAAGGTTGGTGAACTTGCTTGTTCTTATCCCATAAGTGAGTCATCCTCATTGCCAGGTTCAGAGAGAGGATCCCATGTTTGGGCACACCAGCAGTTCCAGTGCAGTTGCTTGCTCAGTCACAGAGCTGACCAGCTCTGTGCTCTATGAGGCCTTATTCCCTTCTGGATTTTAGATATCTATGTCCTTGTCACAGTTTGATCACTGCAACATGGCCCAAGTGTCAAAATTCCTTTAAACCCCTCTGAAAGGACAGTACTGTTTGCCACCTACCCAACCTGTTACTCAAGACTAAGTCTCATAGATGGATTTCCCAGCCTGACTCAGGTACAGAGAACTGTTCTTGTCTTTGTACTTGTTCTCTCATGGAGATTTCCAACGTAGCTATAATTCATTTGCAAAAGACCTGTCACCTATTCTAGCTGATGACAGAAATCTTCTAGTTTGATGGGAACTTTTGCTGTCAATCCTAACACATTTTTGCATTTTAACTTGAGTTACATGTGCCTTATAGGTATTTTCTATTTGTGCAATACAGTTATCATCATCGGTGAAGAGCATGAAAACTCATGTCTTCTGAAAATACTTGCGTTGCTGTCTCTATGACAGCTCTGATTCAAGGTACTTTCTAGTAGCATGCCTCAGTAATGCTTGTTTAGAAGATCCCCAATGCTTCCTCACTGAGGTTGAGATGTTCATGCACAACAGTCAGCACCTCATTCCCACAGGTATCTCTTTTGTGGGTGGGTTTTGGGTTTTTTTGGGTTACTGATGTCCCTGCTGGGTGAGCTTGACACTGAATATTTATGTTTCTCATTCCATAAGCAGTTTAGGACTTATATTGACTATAAACATGTTTGGTTGTTCCATGTTATGCAAGAGAAAAGGACACAGACAGAACAAAAGAAAAAATGCAAGAAATAGAGGATAATGAAAGTTTTGGCTGGTAAGTTCAAATGGTAACAATAACCACCTCAAATAAAGCTTTCATAATTTCTTTTTAAAGAGGTGGGGAAAAGCAGCTTATAGCAAATCTACATATTACTCTGCTTCTTTAAGATATACAGAATGAAATTTCCCCTTTTCTCCCCCTGCAAGCAAAACTCTGACTGTGCAAAATGCTCTGGAGCAAAAGGACTCCAGACTGGTAATGACAGAGCTACAGTTTTGAAGCAGCAGCTTCTGAACAAAGGACAGCAAGCCCTCCTGGGTTGCTTCTGGGACAGACAGCAAGTGCAGTTGGCAGGGTGTAGCAGTGAGGCTGTGCAGCAGGGACTAGATGCAGGATGCTCGCATGAAATACTACTTGAGGCACTCAGCTACATACTTCTACCCTGGCTCCTCTCACTAAGTCAAATAGAGCTGTACCTTACACTGATGGATTTCTGGTTCTCATTGCTGCAGATTCCTGAGAAACAAAACTGCTGGAATTATAAAAATAACCATATATATTCAGATGTGAAGAAATAAGTAGATTTAATGTTAAAATTTCCATCCATAAGTGAGGGCTGTGATCTTTCTCCTGCAGGCAAGTACAAGGTCATTTTGCTTCAAATTTCTTTTGTTTTGTTTAGACACAATTCCACTGAACATTTAACAAAATACAAGCCAGACTCAGAGAATTTCAAAGGTCTTGTTCCCTCTCTGCAAGTATCTGCATGACCATATTTAATTCAACAGGAGGAAATCCATATACACAGATTATGTTTACACATACCTTGTCAAGTGTAGCTCTTCCTCTCCCCTTAGCACCTGGATGCATGGTATTGTTTGTGAAGGTCCTTAGTTCTGCCCTCCTTCTTGATCTACTGGGGAAAAAATCCTTCTTCTTCAAGAATTACCACAGTCACAGAAATGCAAGTTTTCTTCCAAGAAAATGTCTATGTTGCTATTCTCAATCTAATGGAAGCAAAAGCACCTGACACACTGCTGGATCCATGCAGTGAGATGAGGCTTGGAAGAGAGCAGATGAGAATTCCCAAAGCAAGGAACAAGGCTGGAAACTACGTGCAAGTTAAAAGAAAGAAAAAACCCCAAACTCAGCTCAGAAATCCATTACCATCACAGGAACAAACATCATAGGATCGGATGGCAGCAGAAAACAGGGAGCACTGATGACTAATACTGGTATCAAACCTCTAGAGTAGTGAAGGTAAAAGACAGAGAGGACATGGGGTTTGCAGACTGTCAGGACTTCAGCTGTGTTCATGAAACACAACCCCAGTGCTGACCTTGGGAAGCCTCTAGCAATCAAGAGTGGACTTTCGGGGCAAGCTAGGTGTGCTCAATGTCAGCATGATGTGAGCACCTAAGGAAAGTGAGATCCTTTCAGGCGGTTTGTCATTCCCTATGCAAATCATTCTCACCGATTTTACAGCTACACAAGGGTTCCACACTAGGGAATCTTTTAGAAATCTGTGCTTCCCTCACCCACCCCGAATTTACAACACCTTTGATAGTTACTTTCCTTCCAATGCCTTTATCTGAAAATACTAAGGAATGCCAGATATATCGTTGCATCTGAGCTCTGCTTATGCAAGACCCAGAGATAAGGGGGAAAGTAGGTTTATTGTGTTTCTTTGGTCCTATGATGAGCTGCCAGCAGTGCAGAAGCAGAACTGGCCACTGCAGGTCCCTGAGAGGTTGTGGCAGGCAAGCTATGAGACCCCTTATGGTGTGAAAACCCCCTTATGTCTATAGTATCTAGAGGTATTGTGACATTTAGCCTCACACCTGCTTTTTGGCTAGGCATGGCCAGAAGAGTGGACACGAGCTGAACTGATCTGGGATCTAACACAAAACTCCGCTCATTGTTTCAAAATGTTTAACAAAACAGGGAAAATGCATCCATCTTGTCTGAAGTAAGTGGAGTAAAACGAGGAACTAAGGCTGCTAAGCAAAACCACAGATTTCAAATAATGTGTATATAATTTAATATCATTCCATGATATGGTCTCTGCTTAGCACTGTTCGAGGTAGTGCACAAATGCAGCATTACTAAGAAAATGTAAACAAGACAGTTTGAACATTGCTTAGCAGAGTCAGGTCCATTTTCTGTAAAACAAACCCCAGTGTATAGGTGTGCACTTAACTGGCATGTTCAGTTAGTGAGACTGAACTACACACATTGGGATGGAGTTTCTTGATGGTATTTTTTAATTGTCTTCTGACATCCAGATCTAATCTCTAATTAGATCTGTCTTTGGCCTTAAGGTTTTTGCAACTAACCAAGTTAAGTGCTTTTACTGATATCTGCAGCTCTGCAGAGAATTAAGGTCTGCAGCAGTTTTCCATTCCTCTCTCCATGCGGTATTTCTGAAAAATGGCTTTGATTTTGACTTTTGAATGCAGTGTTCACAGAGTGCTGTTCAGCAGCCACTTCAGTACAGAATATATGAGATGACAGAATGAAATCAGGTTTAGCCTCTTATTGAAGGCAAACCTGAAGTTAATCCCCAACTGGTAGAAAAATGAGCAGAAATCAGAAACCTTTCACATTTGACAACAGAAAAGACATATCCCAAAACATTAATCTTTAATTGATGCATTGTTAATTCTAAGGTTTTCTTTAAAGGAATTATCTTGGGAATGCCACCGATAGCGTTAAATGATACTTATTTGTGTAACAACTGGTTTAGCCCTTTATTTATTTATTTATTTATTTGTATTTTACCTGAAAATGTATTTTCTTAGAGACGTTATAACCGCATTTCTGCATTATCAGTTCATTTTTTTCTCCTCTTTCCTGGATATATTGGCCAGGAAAAGGAACTTCCAGTCATCTATAATGGACAGTTTAATTCACATGTTTTACTTTGTCCACATAGAAAAATGCAATTTCTGGATCATTGAGGCATATGGATTATGAACAATACACTCCAAAAACTAGCTATCCAGACGGGGATATACTTACAAAAATTTTTTATGTCAAAGTCAGGATTTCACAACATAACACAATAATGCAAAATCCAGTAGCACCTGAAAGATTAAGGTAGCTGCTGCTATCACTTGCACATACTTGAAAAAGATTAAAGGAAAAAAAAAAAAAGAGTAATACATTCTCCAGAGAATAGCAAGTGTATTTAAAAATAAAGAACTGTGGGTTTAATTTCTCTTTTCTCCCCCTTTTTTTTTTTTTTTTGTTCTATTTCTGTATTTCTGTGAGGCTTATGGTAATTCTTTTGTTGGTTTTTTTTTGGTTGTTTGATTTTTTTTTTTTCCCAAGACTGTAGTTGCCATGTAAATTTAGACACAAAGTAACTGCTCTCCTCTCTAGTGCAAGTTCACGGTCATGTTTTCAGGCTATAGTACTGAACACTGTTTTCTTGTATACATATTCCCATAGTTTCATTAAAGATAGATACAATGTACAGTACTTGTCTCTGGGACAGTAATGTTTCAAATGGCAAAACCTTTACGTTAAAACAGAAGTGAAGAGGCTACAGTAGGTATAGCCACCTAAGTATGAATTTTAGATCACAATTTCTAAACACTTGCCTACTGTACATAAGCATTAAAAATAGTCTTAGACATAGGATTTTATTTATATGTGCACGTATGTCCACCTCATCCCATATTTATGTTTGGCAACTATTTGGGAATTCAAAGGTGCAGCCCTCAGTAATTGTATTATTTAAAAAAAAAGAAATGAAGCTTATCTATTCTATGAGAAAAAGAAATTCTCAAATATCAATTTCCAATTTTAAATTTAATTTCAATAGGAAAATATTAAAAATGTGCACATCTAAATTTTTCCACGTTCTGTATATACATATGTGTGTGTACTTATACATAGAAATGCTCATGTACCACACATATTCACAAAATTTAAGTGGAAATATTTCTGTCCACTATTTTTCCCACACATATGACATCATATCTTTAAAAATGTCAAGAATAATATCATTAAAAATAATATTACATTTATTCCATCATTATGGTTTTTTTATTCTTTCTTCATCCTTATTATGTCCACTGAGCATTAACAGGCCGAATTCTCCTTGCACTTCCATGGATGTTATGCCAACGGAATGTTGCTGACATCACATCAAGGACACATCTGGTTTACAGCAGCACAAGTGACAGGAGAATCAGGCCCAAATATCCCCAGGAAAATTAAAAACTGGCTGTATCTGCTCATATGGACCTGATGAAGATATACACACTACTGTCTAAAATCCCCTGAATGATTAACATGTAGCTCACCACAAAATTTTCAACCAGTAGCACAATGAAACAAGCTCCCCCCACCCCTTTAATAAATGTGAGAAAATACCCTAAAAAATATGGAGAAAGCGTAAACATTGTGTATATTACATACCATATAATACATGACAGTTTTAGCATTTAACCTAAGCCACTTCCCTGACTAGTCAGGGGAGACCTGATAAATTACCAGTTAAGGGAAAAGAAAAAGATATTTTAGAAATAAAGCATGTCTTCCCAATATAAATGACAACCTGCGTGTATTATATGGTACATACACACAGTACATACATGAAAACAAACTTATCTTTTCTAGTTTTGAATATCAGAATCTAAGTGAAGAAAACTGTTCTACAAATTGAATAAGCAGCTAGATTTCATGTTTAACATTCAAATTAATTTGGGGAGCAAACAAAGGTTCGTGCATCTTTCAACTCTGAGGTTTGACATTCATTCATACATTTTAAAAAAGCCCTCTTCAGCGTTACAAGCAATTTATGGCAAGAATGCACTGTAATGCAAGACACATGACAATTGGCTTACCTTTCAAAGAGTTGGGTTTTTTTAAATAAATCTATTATATAAAGAAATATGTGTTTGCCAAAAGTCTGTTAAAATTACATCAAAACAACTTTAAAACCTGCTCACTAAGGATAATTCAATTCAATGTCTTGTTTTTAAACACTTAATTAACAGTTCAGAATATTGCCTGGTGTAGTTTGGATAAAGATGTGATATGAAGACCCATAAAAGAGTAAACATGTCTTCAGTTCAATTTGCTATGACAACAAAACTTCAACAAAAACTTCTAGCCTTTTTGGCCGGACACGTTCAGTGTACGAACAATCCCTTGCGGTACCTCTGTGCTCTTAATGAATCTGTAATAGAACAGTGCTCCCGGTAAGCCATTATTCACAGAACTTCTACTTCATGTCACATTCTGAAAAAGGCTCTTGCAGAACAGAATAACAGCAAATTGAACATTCAATATAAGTATCAAGGCCAGAAAAAAGAAAACCGGCCATTCCTTGTTATGTGTGCAGGTCAAATTTAAAATGTTAAGTTTACATTTAAAATTCTCAGGGCAGTTTGGGCTTTTTATTTTTCCCTTGGGACTCACCTTCTATCACTGGTTGGCTTCAAAATTTAGTCAAGTGGAAGATACTATCTCACTGTAAGTACATGGAATTCATTTGAAAAACTAAACCTTACATTGGACAATATTGTAGAACACCAAAGTAAGATCCATAAAGAAATACGGTATCTTCCAGTATATATGTATAGCTCTAAAAAAAACCAAAAAACCAACCAGCCAACCAACCCCCAAAGAAAAACAAAAAAGAAGTTTATACAAGCAATTATAGTAAATTTGTTTCAATTAAAGATGCAACTCTCTCTCATTCCTGGCAAGAATAAATTTGTTCCGGCACTGCTTCTCCACAGTGCAACATATCCTGAGAAATTATTAGAACAAAGTACATAGGGCTGTCATCACTAAGTTTTTGCACAAAACACAGCATTTAAATATCTTAAATAAAACAGCCAATAACCTATATTGTATCTGTCACAAAATGGGGTGTGTCCTGGGACACTGCTAATTCTTCCATCACTGATAATTAGAAAAGGATTGCATTCAATTATTGTTAACGTTTTTCAAGTTATCTGTGGCCAATAATGTAAAAGGAGGTAATTTGTAATTCAAGTTTTTTTTGTTAGTTATTTTTTTCTTAAACTGGCTACAAGCTAAGTTCTAAATTTTACATTGAATTACAAGTCAAATTTAAAACAATCCATCTCAGAAGAGCATTTTCTAATTTTGTGCAACTTTGATGCAGAGCCCAACACAGTCCTATGAAGAGAGACAGTGCATCTTTAAGCTGATTGGCACTGAAATCCCATTTTCTTTAACTGCACTCTATTAGCTTGGCCAAGTTATCTCGTAATTCTGTTAGTTCAAATATTTTTCCATCAAGAATTTCTAAAAGTGTCTTCAAGTTATTGCGAAAAGCTTCTTGCTCATTCTGACTTTTCTCCAGACGTTGCTCTAGATCAGACAGCTGTCCTTCCAGGTCTTTGTTTCGAATTTCTACTTCCTTCAGAGAAAATACACAACATGTTAATGTGTTGTCTGCAAACACAAAGCAGTCTAACGTCCTCTTGGCACTCATGTGCTATTTTTGTCAACTGCTTTTTAAAATAATATGTAAACCTTTCCAGTTTTCAGTATGTCAAAACCAGAACCTGAATTGTTACTACGATTGCATATGAACTGCCACTTCCTCCATTTCTCCATAATTATCTGAAGGACTGAAACTTTTGGAGAGGAACAAACTTAATCAGTGAACAAATGATACACTTATTCAAGTGTGTTATCACTTCTATCACTCAGAAATGTACTGCCTAATGAAAACACCTTCTCAGAGTTTATTACATTCAAGTATGCCCTGATTTAGACTACATGATTTGGTCAAGGACACGGTTCTCCATCCAAAGTTCTCATGCAAAAACCCATCCAGAACGCTGCTCTAGAGACAGAGGAGCACTGCCTTATTTCCATCCTGTGTATGGGCTTTGCACTCTGAAAATTAAGACATGAACATGGCTGGGCCCAAGCAGAGGTCAAGGTGACTGTGACAAATGTAAACCAGGAGGTGCAAGCTGCACATGGTGCCTCGCTGCACAGCACCCACCTGCGGAGCAGGGACACTGGGAGAGCCACCACTGCTGCACGGACCTGCCCTTCCTATGCAGTGTGGGAAAGATGGAGCAGCAGCATGTTGGACACAGCCCAGGGGGTCTGACTCTGAGCAAGCTCAGCTCTCACTCACAAGGAGAAGCCCTTGGCATCCACCCCTGGGACTCCTCTCAGCTCCAGCTTGCACCTGATGGGTAACGGTGCCAAGTGCTCTGCCCTGTGCAAGACCTGTGCCCTCTCTTCAATCAAATCACAAATGAACCAGTCACCTAGGTCTGGAATAGCATATTGTTCTTTGTTCGATTCATTGCCCACCTAATAAATTTATGCTAAGTTTTGTAATTTCAGTTACAAAAATAATTTTCAAAGGCAGCACAGAGACATTGTGTTTAGTATACCATACACCCTGTAGAGCATCTCTGGAAAAGTGCATAGTGAATTCATATTATGTATGGTAACATGTTTTTCAAGACCTCTTCCCTTTACAATGGTTTTGTGCCACAAAGCTTTATCAGGCCTCGTCTGAGATTTTACTACAACTAGTTTTACAAATAGGAAGGCAGATCTGGCAGCATTCAATGATCGCAACATGAGCAACTCCTCTTTCAGCCCTCCAAATCTCTCACTGGTTTTGGTGTGATTCTTCTGTCTCCCTCAAGGCTAAGAAATATATTCATGTTTATACCGGACAGATCTCAGCTACCCACAGAAAACAACCTGACCTATACAGAAAATATATTGGGTCATTCAAGAGTAACAGTTATGTAATGCCAGCCCTGTATCAAAGCCTGAGAAAGGTATCCACTTGCGAGGGGTCTGGCAGCAGCACTGATTGGGTGCTGCATCCCTGGCCAAAGAGGGGATGGGGTGACGTGGCCAGTGCTCAGTTTCAGCTCCCAGCCTCTGCAGCAGCCCAGAGTTCTGGGCCCCCCAGCAGTGCTGCAGGACTTTCACTGCCTCATCGCTGTGGCTGCTTGCAGAGCCAAGGGTTACCTCCCAACCTACTTCTTGTTTGCAAATGAGCAAGTAAAAAACTATGGATTTTTGGGCACCAGTCTTGAACAGCCAGCACACCCGAGAGCAGGAATTACCTCTTACTGCCAGGCTCAAGAGAAGAATTAATTTGTTTAGCACTGAACAATTTAGTTGCCAAAGCACTAAAAGAAGCTAACTGGATAGCACACTTGTAGGAATTATACAAATAAAATGCATACATGCTTATATATTGAATAGCTACCTCACTGCTGCTACAAATGAAGACAACTGGTTATAACCCAGTCCTACCATGTAAAAACCCTTCTTCATTGGGCCTACTCCTGCCTTCCAAGCCAAGCACTTACAAGTACTACCTGGTGTAGTGATTGCACATGTTCAAGACCCTCTGAGGGCAAAGTGATTACAGTATAGGACATAAAAGTGAAATCCAAGGTCCTCTCAGCTTTGCCAGAGTGACACAGCCCTTTCTTTAGCTCACAGAAGACTGATTGCTGTTTTTCAGTATTTGCCCATCCTGTCATTGCTCCTCTCCTAGTCACCAAATCTGTGTGCTCTAGGAAGTTTTCTTGTCACTGCTGTAACCTCAATGATAATTAATTCCTGCAAGCAGGCAAGCCAGTGATGAAATAGATCACTTTGGGACAAACATATAGATACTTATATGGCTTTACATTGTAATATCTGGGCTTGACTAGAGCATTCTGTTGGCCTGTATCTAGCACTGAAGAACACCCTTCAGGCCCTTCTCACGCATTTTTAATAAAATATGCCAGAAGATACTGCTTTTAACTTCTGGAAAATGCTACTTCTTAAATTTACATTTGACCATTATGCATATTTACCCTAAATTAGTATTAATGCTTTCTGCAATGTTATTGCATTGTAAGTTCATGTCCAGCTCACATGTAGTTTCCTGCTTCAAATCAGACAACCACAAAACTTGCTTATTGATTGGATTACATGTAATGTTATCTATTCCCCTAACTGTGTCATTTCCCTTTACTGGCAGCTGATCTCATCCAACAACAAATTGACTTTGATATATTCAGGCCCTTTTTAGAATGTATTTTGCACTTGGATTTTTTACCTTTGGTTTTATAAGTTCTTCTTTCATCAGATGTAATAATTTCTTATATTTTGTCTTACAGAATAAATAAATCATTACTAGTTATGTTTGTTTTTCTAACTGTAACAATCTTTTGCAGAATTCAGTGCAAGGATTGGAATAAAATATTCAAACAATACACAACAGCAACATTTAGGAATTAGCCATATTAATAAAGATATTCTGACCTACTGTGAGAGTCATGCTGATCATGACTCACTGATATGACTTCTCTACATTACAAATGGAATTAGGACCCCGATACTTAACCTTCATGACAACATATTGTTCTTCACTACAGTTTTCCAATGATTGATATCTAATCGATTCCTGATGTGCATCTGTCAGAAATGCCGTACACCTTGAAATATACTAATTTCTCTGTATAGCATTTTTCATAGAGGATTTTTACAAAAAAATTTTAAAGTTACATAATCCATTTGCAAAGCACAAGAAGGGGAAAAAAAGCACAAGAACAAAGAGTGAGAGAAACAGATACAAACCCCGGAGAGAATCAGCCTGAAAATAAATGATGAGTCAGGTAAGTGAACATACATGAGACAGTGTGAAACTACAGCAGATAAAGTGACAGATGTAGGGTGAAGTGGCTCAGAGAACACCAGTATAATCAAAGCAGGACAACTACAGCAAAGCACTGACTCAAGACCTTTTTCCTGGGCAGGATCAGGGCAGTAATTAAGTTTAAGCTTAATAAAGGCACCTTTTAACTCAGATCCTAAGTGATCCCTTAAATTTACTTGAATAAAACCATATAGAGCCATTTCCAGAAACACATCACTTACAATGTGACACACGGACATATATATAAAATATATCCATTTGGTCATTAAACAATCACAGAATTATAAAATGGATTAGGTTAGGAGGACCCTTAAAACAACCCAACAGAGGGTTTCAATCCTCTCTTTCAATCTCCTTTAGATAAGGTTGCTCAAAGTGCCATCCAACCTAGCCTTGGACATTTCCAGGGATGGGGCATCCATAACTTTTTTGGGTAACCTGGAGCAGTGCTTCACCACCATCACCAAGTAGAATTTCATCCTAGTGTCTATTATGAACCTACAGTCTTTCAGTTTGAAGACATTACTCCTTGTCCTATCACTGCAGTTCCTGATGAAGAGTCCCTCCCTGGCTCCCTGTACAACACTGTCAGATACTCTGAAGCTGCTGACAGTAACCCCTCCATGCAACCTTCTCTTCTCCAGGCTGAACAGCCCAAATTTTCTCAGCCTCTCTTCACAGGAGAGGTGCTCCATCCCTCTGATCATCTCTGTGGCCTCCTCTGGACTCTCTCCAGCAGGTCCCTGTCCTTGCTGTGCTGTGCCCCCAGAGCTGATGCAGCCCTGCAGGTGGGGTCTCAGCAGAGCAGAGCAGAGGGGCAGAATCCCCTCCCTGCCCTGCTGCCCACCCTGCTCTGGATGCAGCCCAGGACACGTGTGGCTCTCTGGGCTGGGAGCACACACTGCTGGTTAGTGTTGAATTTTTCATCTACCATCACCCCCAAGTCCTTCTGGGCAGGGCTGCCCTCAATCACTTATACATAAATATACCAGAATGGAACTACTGACTTTATAAGGTAAAATTTTAATAAAAATTTACCATTTTCTAATCTTTCATCTCTTATTAATCTCATAATTCTGCTTGCTAAGAATAATTCTGGTTCACTGCTACTTTTCATATGATCTTACAATGAAATTACTGCATTTGCTATTGCTGGAGCACTTTGCAACTGTCATTACAATGTCTCTTTTTAGTCTCACATAAATGCCTTTTCAAATGAAAACTTGTAGATTTAGCCTAAAACCAGCAACAATTTTTGGAACAGGCAAGGTCAATGTACTCAAAACACTCTTTAAACACTGTTCAAAGTAATAACATACTTTGTACAAACAAGTTGATGTAAGAATGGGGAAAATGAATGAACTCAGTTTGATCTTTAGTGTTTTATTCTGCAGGTTAAAATTTGATTCATGGAGGTTCCAATTAATGTCACACACTTCAAAGAATACCTGCCTAATGATTTCTAAGCTATGGCTGCGATCTGATGGGGCTTGCTTTCAGCATGCTAAGCCATAGAACCAAGAGAATTCCCTTTCAGCACCTTAGGGTTGGAGCTATTTAATGCCTGAGTTTCCAGTTCCTTCAAAACTCAGAAAGCTGAACCCACAGTGTAATCCACATAAGCTTTTGGTCATTCCAGCAGCAGGTGTGACAAGGAATGTGGCTATGCAGGCTGGTCAGTGCAGCAACAGACTGGAAAGAGCTCAGATGGAGCACGGGAGGATATAATGAGAAAACATGAATTCCAGCAGCCTCAGGTATCTGGTATTACACACAGTAAGAAACAACTGCTAAGAATAAAAACACAATGTTTCTAAATAATTCCAAGAAAATGTAGAAAGTGTGGTTTTAAAGCCTGTACTACACAAGAACACTTTAACCCTTACTTTCTCAGAACATATTAAAAAACTGAACACAAACTCCTCCCAGGCTGATGACACACAGACAGACCATTTCAGTGGCATGCAAAAACTATGGGAAGACACTGCTGTGAAAATGGACCAGAACTGTCCAGAACATGTATCAGGGAAGGATGTTTGCTAACCTGAGAGTACTCTGTGGACATGTAAAAGCAATGTGGATGTGTTTCCTCAGATAAAAATAGAAATTTAGAGCAGGTAGAAATTTTGATACAAATTCCTAAGGGTCATCCCACCCCAGCACTTTCAGGGCAGTCTAACCCACACATTCATCTGGCACATACAGTAAATATAGCACATGTGAAAGTTACACATGTGAACTGCTCACTTGCTGATAATTTTTCCCTTTTCTCTAAATTAAGATGATGCACTACAGCTCACCTGTAACTTCTGGGTCAGAGAATCCCTCTGCGCCTGGAGCTCTCTGGCATTTTCAATTTCTTGTTTCAATCCTTCTATTTCCTAAGGGAGAAGAAACAACCCTGCTAGCAATGCGTTACCTGGCCTGGCCTTGGTGCTGGTAATCTGGCTGCTGCTTCGTTTTCCGAGAAAGTCATTGCAACAATACCAAAACTGCCAGTTGGCTACTGCCCATCAGAGAACATGACGTGTAAGCCCTGCTCCCAATACTTCTTAATCACAGCCCCAAAACAGCAACTGCATTGTCAATGAACAACAATAGACAAAAGAATTTTCATTTGTAAAAGTCCAAGTTTTCTTCTCCCCCTGAAGAGATACAAAATAATTTTTGCCCAAAAAATTAAGAAAACAAATTTAAAAATTAATTAATTCATTAATTTTTGAAATGTAATTAAAAACCGAATTTATACTTTAAATTTTATCAGAATCTCCTCTTCCCTGTTTTTCAAGAAAAAAATTCCAATTTTCAAATGTAAACTGCTTATTATGTCACCAGCAGCAGGGCTGAACATCAAAAAACTGCCTTTTTGATTGACTTCTGTAAAAAGAGAATCTAAAAGAAATGGCATCTTCAATTTAGCAATTAGAAACCAATAAGGTATAAAATAAATATAGATGAAATAATGAACAGAAGAGAAACCTGTTGTTAGGTTCAGAGACAAGAACAGAAACAGTGAACAAAACTAAAAGGTATCAAACTTAAAACTAGTAAGTACTCTTGTCCAGATAGGCATATTCACTCCCCAGAACTCCTTTTGCCAAGATTTTTTTGCAGCCAACAACTCAGCGTAATTCAAAAGAAATGGGCAACAAAATGGGAAACATTACCAAGCTGAGCCTAATCTATTAAGTAGGAAGGAGTTTGGAAAAGGTTCCATTCCATTTTGAGAGGATATTCTGTAATGACTGTGCCTCTCCTGCATCCTCCTTGGAAGCACCTCACAGCACTGGGGGAAGGCTTGGCGAGACACACTGCCCCCCAAGTACACACGCCAGTCCCCACAGTCTCTTACACAGGGCAAATAATTCCTCCTGTGCAGCTGCTTCCACCTCCTTTTTCCATCCATAAAGGGGTGATTCTTGATCCTTCTGTGGCACAGATACACTTTCCTCTAGGACATATGCCAATGCAGGTGTTACTCCAATTCCTTTTATTTACTTGCTGCTGATCCAGGCCAAGGCACATGGCACAGTAAATACCAAGTTTCAGGCTGGGGGTCTGGCATGTGTTTAAGGAAATTGATCTTATGGAACTGATTTTATGGACCATAAAGGTCAGCTCTATTAACAGAGCCCGAAAAAGGGACTAGCTGGACAAAGGCATTGACCTATTACTTGTCTCAAACCCTATTCTCCAGAAAAACAGAAAGCATGCCTACAACAGCTTCCTTTCTTAGGGAATCTGGACTGCATTAGTGTGATTATTGCCCTGTGGAAACCACTTATGACTTACTTTTACAAACAAAAATCTTTGGCAAAAGCAAACAGGAAAACATGATACGTTTTTTGCTGCTATCCAGATACCCAGCTCTATATTGGGCTCATGCAATTATATAAATGAAAAATACTAACAATTCCAAAAAGTTGAAAAATAATTTACTTTGTAACATCAATAGCAAACAATTCAGTATCTAGCCATCACAAGCTTAAGATTGAAAGGTTTTAGAAATTATGTAATAGAAAAGCCAAAAACAAATGTTAGCAGATACCTCTTCTTTTTTCTTCAGTGTGGACTCTAATTCCTGTATTGTCTGGTTTAATTCTGTTTTATGAGTGTGGACTGCATTGGCTTGACTGCTCACACACTCCAGTTCAGTCACCTGTTGAAATAAGTAGAAGAAACACGTACAGAATTAATTTCAATATATTCAAGGTACTATTACTTCTTTGCATCAATAGCTGCCTTTGAAATACACCCTAACTTCTGGATGACTTCTACTCATTAAAATGGTCAAGGTGCTCTTATAAAGTTAGCATAATGTTCCATTATATATTATTATGTAAGTTGTTGCTATGAATTCCTGGAAACAAAAAAATTCATTTGTTATATGCTGAGAAGAACACTAATTAAAACTTATACTAATTATCAAAAGTTTTAACAAAGTTCTGAATTACCACTTCAAACACAGTAATGCCTTGATGACTAAACACAGATCTGTCTGTCTAACTAACCTCTCCATCTGACACTTCTTAATCTTCTACCACCTTACTAAGTCACAGTGTTCACACACTTCCTAGAAAGCCAATTAACATTTCACAGCACCACTCGGCATCAACAGTGCAACAGCAGACACTCAGCCAGCAAAGTACAGCTGCCAGCTTCTAACTTTCCTAGTAATGGAGCTCATCTCTCAGTCACAAAGGCAACAGCTAATGTCACAATTTGGTTTTGCTCAGTTCCCCTTTTATTAGCAGACAGCAAGCATGTTCCATCTCCCCTTGATTATGTTAAGATACCTGGCAGTGGTATGCACTTTTGTTTTATTTCATAATCAAAATGATGCTAATATTCTGCCACTCACAGAAAAACAGTTTTAAAAAACAGCTACTGCAACAAAGAGACAAAATCCATGCAGCTAGAGCCTATGCAGAAAAGTCTCTGTTTATGTACCTTTCACATTTCAGGTCAGAATATTAGAGAACTTTTACACCACGTCTGCCTACATGTGTGCACTAAAACATTTTTGTTTAATAACTTAAACCTAATAATGAATTTCTCTCCAGAAGTTATGAGCCTGTCAATCCTAATATAAAGTTTTCAACAGAGCTGCATGGCATACCTACAAATCTGGCCACAAAACTCCTTTGAACAAAATGCTAGTTAATTCTGCAACAAAAACCTTTAACACTCAATTTAAAATTCTTGGAGAGGCAGCCATAAGGCAGAGGGCAGATATTTTCCAAGACAATTTTATTTCTTAGGTAAAATAGTATCTCAGGCAATCAAGGCTGCTCCTTTTCAGCACCAATGTCCCCTAGCTAATAAAGCCACTGTGATACCAGCAATTTCAGACTCTGAACTATTTGTAGGCTCAAAAGGTAAATTACTGAATCAAGTCCAAGGGAAGTCAAGATGAAACACAAGGAAATTGAAACAACTTCTCCTGTCTGAATCACAGACCACAAACTTCTCCTCTGCATAGCCACGGTGAATCTAGGCTCTTGTGTTGGAAAACTATTGGTTAGACATTTCTGCACATGAGGTTTGCAATGGAGAGAACTGAGATTGGAACAAATTCTTGGCAGGGGGTAAAGGGAATGAGGGAGTAGGATACAGCTTGGTAAGGCAGCATGCCCTGTCCATCCCAAAGAACTTTCTTATTTGCTGGTATTGTCCCAAAAGGAATACCAGTGCTCATGACAAGACCAAAAAAAATTTAAAAAAAAACCTTATTTTCTTCATTTTATTACATGTCACTGAGCATTACTACTGAAGTCTTAGATGATTTTCTCAATTACACACATCTATCTGTATTTAGATTCTTATAATACTGTTACAGTGTTCACCACTGCAACTACACAAACAAGAACTGGAACACATCAATGAGGACAAACTTGTGTCTGCACAGTGTCTGACCTAGCATCTACAGGGAGCAAGAATCAGAAAGGCACAGAGCAATTTAGACTGGAAAGGGACTGGTGGACATCTGGTCAAGGCCTCCTGGTCAAAACAGGGCAAATTTTGAGGTCACATTTGCCTGCTCAGGGTCTTGCCCAGTCAAGAATCCTCCACTATTCAAGCAGAACTGCGACAGTTCTGACATTGCAGGTTTATGAAGAGCTCTAGCTCCTTCCTAAGTTTTGCTGGAACTGTCAAACTCATTCACCCCTTTCACCTTCAGCTCTTCTGATGTTTAACTTTTCAAACATTTCCAAGCTTTCCTGCTGAAATGTTGAATAGTAACTTCCAAGAAGACAATCTCTCTTCAAAAGCTGTTGCACTCAGCAAGACCCACTGGCCCTCAGCAAGCACTAGCACAGGATGCTCACTTACACAAAACCTCATCTGGAGAGACGAAAGTAAGCCCAGTCCCCAAACTACCTCTGCCCCAGAACCTCATGCCTTGAAGCTTGCCTGCAGAGGTCTCTCATCCTGTGACTAAGGAAGCACCTGGACTCCCCCTATTCTCCATATGGTTTCCTCTTGGCTGGTACACATAGAGAGCATGTATGTATTGGTGCAAGCTGGGAATCCAAGGGGTGATGAATCAAAGCGTTAGATGAAATCTTATGTTCTAACTTGCTATCTATTATTGCTGGTTAAACACATCTCCTGCAGCAGCCCTGCCACGTGCACAGCTCATGTGAGCACGCCCAAGTACACTCCGGTCCACGTTAACTCAACACACTTATTGAAATTGCTTAAGTAAACACAGATGATTATTCTTAAGCAGAGCAGGCCATGCTCCCACAAACCTTCTTGCCAACAGAAGCAACTGCTCTCAGAAGGACAATTCAGTGCCAGCACTAAAAGGGCTGTGATGTCTTACTCTAGCCAAGCTTTTCTCTGGGCAAACATCCATCTCTTACTGATTACGCAAGAAAATAATGTTCAACTGTTTTGTTTAGTGTTGACTGAAAGCTCATAAGTTGGGAAGAAAAAGAACAAACTCAATTAAAAAACTGGGTTACTTTAATCAGTCTTATTTAAATGCCCATTTCTACAGAGATCTGAAAAGATGTCAAGTATTTTCAGGTTTTTATCTTCTTGAATGTACCTATAAAGACGAAAAACATACTGTGACCCTTTCAAAAGATCTGTACAGTAAGATGGGCTGGAAAATGATGTGATATAAAGAATATGCAATTGAAAACAGAAGTAACAAAAGATAAAGCTCTAGGCAAAAATCTGCATAGCATATACTTGTCCTGTTTTTTGTCTCAAATTGCACTTAATTTTCTCATGATCAGCGGTCCAAAAATCATTACAAGTAACTGTTAATGCATTATGCACAGAAGGGGGCATAAAAGGAAGTTAAAGTGCTTTAGCCTGACCCTCCCAAAGGCTATTATCAGGGAAACTCCTCATTCAGTGTTTCAGGTTTAAAAGCAAAGCTCAATCAATCCTTCAAACTCTTTCACAGCAGTATCAAGAAATGTACCCGTGATTACACCTCATTTTGAGTACAGAATTCAGACTGAAAGAACAATCTTTGAACAGTAACTGGCTAAACAAAGTCCTGCTATTGTGCTACCATAAGACTGCACTGACTTGCATATCTGAAAACGTCAATAACTCTGGCTTTGTATTTGAGACTGAAAAAGAAAAAAGTAGTGTTCTTAGCCTCTCTTTCTTTATTTTGCATTTATTATCCAGGTAAGGATTACATGTAAAGAAAATATTCTGAAAAGGCTTTTTAGTGACTATTTACTGTGGAAACTCTTCTAGCATGTGGATGGTGTTATACTCAACTGCCTACTTCAGTGTTGAATATGTCACCTGAAGCAGGACAGCAAGGCAACTTCTTCTGGTAGACCCTAGACCCTCCCAGCAGTGGCCATTGTAGAATTTTCTGGATATTTTAGTCTAGGTTCAACAACCAATAAATGCAGGAGGATTCCAGGAAGAGGTTTTCATTGCAGCAGAGGGCAAGCACACAGGGCTGCTGGGAAGACTGGAGGAGTGAGGCTTCAGGCACATAACACAACAAGGAGTAACAGCCTTGGTGCGAACTTAAGACAGTGACAGCCTAAAGCTTCAGAAAACTGAAAAGACTCTCAAGAAAATCCTGACCACAGAAAGTTACTTTGCAAGTGAAGACTTCAGTAAGACAGAAGAAAAGAAGTGGAATGGCACAAATATTTTGAATGGTGACCTGCCCCAAGCAATTATTGACTAAATGATTCTGTGCTGTGTTTGCTCCAGCTGGATTAATTTTTTCAAACCACTTTCTTGAGATTAATTGTACAGTTCAGTACCAACAGATCATGCAATTCCTTCTTACCTACATACAGAAATTATTCCAACTTCTACAGAAAGGCAAATCAAGACACATTAGACACAGAATACATCTAGAAGACAGAATTCGTCGCACAACTGCAGAATAATTCAGGTTGGAGAAGACCCTTAAGATCATTGAGTCCAACAGTTAACCCAGCACAGCCAACTCTACCACTAAGCCACATCTCCAAGTACCACCTTTACGTGACTCTCAAATACCTCCAAGGATAGTGACTACACCACTTCCCTGGACATCCTGTTCCAATGCTTGACAGCCCTTTCTGTGAAGAATTTTTTCCTACTAGCTAAACTGGCACAAATCAAGGCCATTTCCTCTGGTCCTCTTGCTTCTTACTCGGGTGAAGAGATCAACCCCCACCTACAGCCTCCTTTCAGGCAGTTGTAGAGAATGATTAGGTCCCCTCTGAGTCTCCTTTTCTCCAGGCTAAACACCCACAGCTTCCTCAGTTACTCCTCACAGGACTTGTGCTCCAGACCCTTCACCAACTCCACTGCCTTTCTTTGGACTCATTCCAGCACCAAAATGACCTTCCTGACCTGAGGGGATCAGGATTCCAGATGTGGCCTCAGCAGGGCCCAGCACAGGGGGACAATCCCTGCTCTGGCCCTGCTGGCCACACCATTGCTGATCCAGGCCAGGATGCCATTGCCCTTCTTGGCCCCCTGGGCACAGCCTGGCTCATGTTCAGCTGCTGTCACCAGCACCCCCAGGTCCTTTCCAGCCACTCTGCCCCAGCCCCTGTGGCGCTGCCTGGGGTTGGTGTGACCCAAGGGCAGGACCCAGCACTGGGCCTTGTTGAACCTCACACCATTGGCCTCAGCCATGATCCAGCCTGCCCAGATCCCTCTGCAGAGCCT